GCCTCTTCAACTTCAGTGGAAAACTGGCGATAAACTCCCTCACAATCAGCATCCATAAGCTCTACGGTCTCATCACGCCATGGCTTATACAACATCAAGATTGCTCGAAAATAGCCTTCGCGGTCTAAATCAATATTAAATTTGTAATATCTGATGACTTTCGACTTAGTATGACGTTTGATCCATCCATTGTTATCTCCATTCAGCTGGTAAACTTCACCAGGTAAACCACCATGATCATTACCGCTAAGATCAGACGGAATGACGCTGTCATGATTGTCATCAATCTCACCATCGCCCTGATCCTCCTTATCACTACCATTAAATGGTCTACCTGAGGATCTTTGTCTAGGCTTTTTTCTAGAATATTCAAAATATGCTGCAAATTGGGCCAGATTTAAGTTTTCGAAAACTACAGGACGGACAGTGTAACGCTCTACAATCGAAGGTTCAAAACAATTTGTCGAATCAGGGTTACGCATAAATCCTTCATTTAGAGCCTCTGTTTTTTTAACCATGTGTACCCGATTGCAGGGTTTTGCGGTTGGAACGAAAATACATCCCGTGCAGGCTTCCGACATACGTAACTGCAAAATGTTGTAGGATGCTTCTTGAGCAGAAATCTCACAAGCATTATAATAAGTGGTTGCGATTGATCGAAGCATTTCCAGATTGTTGCTATTAGGGGTTTCTTTGTGTTTTTCAAACACTCCCTTTAACGCCTGGCTCATACCTTTGTCCGACTTATTTACATAGTCAACTACATAGGCACAACAAGCATAAGGATCCAAAATAAACTGAATGTCCATATTTGATCTGAACATACCAAAAATTTTGGGATTGTAATTATTGATCATAATTGCATTTGGATTACGCTTGATGAATATTTTGTTCATTTTTAAGCTGGAGCGTACAGCCTTATGGTATTGGTAAACAGAAGCCATGTTAATTTTAAGAAGGAACTCTTCGATAGTAAAATTGTTGGTGGACAAGCTTTCAATGTTATCTGGAATGAAGTCCCTAATTTTTTTGTAGTCATTTCGGTGCATTTCAATTTGAGCTTCAGATTCTGTGTCCTCATTTAGGGGTACCAAAATAATGGTGCGATCCATTGGTAGAAATGGTATATTGAAGCGGCAAATGACACGACCACCTCTTTTACGCTGACAAGAATGAGTGTGTTTACGTGTTTGCCGTTTCAACAAATGTTTCCAAGTATCTTCAGTGCATACTACCACATTACGTTCATGGGGGCTACCATCCCACTCCTTCTTGCAACTGATAATGGAATCTACAAATTCGCAAATTTGATCTGCTTCAGGTGATTCAGAATCCATTTCGTCTACATAGCATGGAGCATCTTTGAGCCAGATCAGCATATGAACATGGGGAGAGCCTTACGGTATGATTTAGATAAAGCATGCCAAAATGTTTATGTATTTAATTAACCTACCTCTGTGTTGGAATTCGATTCTGAAGAAATAATCGCTAATTTCGTAGCCGGCAAAAGGTCCGTTAGGATCTTTCCAGGTTTTCTTCAACTCACGAAATTTATAGTCGAAGTAACGAGAACAGGTCACTGGATCACTTTGAATTAACCTTGCTTTTTCGGCATAGGCCATTTCTTTTGCTTGATCTTCCGTTATAGTAACGTCATCTACAACTTTTTTCAAGATCACTAATAATTCGGGCCACTGAGTTTCGGCAGCCGAAAGAGTCACGAAAAGCGTTGGAATACCAAACTGACGGATCATGGCCATTACGTCTTTTTTCTGGGCTTTCCAATATTCTGATGAGGAACGCACACCATTTAAAACTCTATAAGCTCGATCTTCGTTTAAATAGCTATCAACCATCTCGTCGTTTAACATCTCATTTACGCTATATGCCCCACCATTCCCCTTCGATTTTTGTCTAAGCATGATATTGACATTACTTGCCAATTTTTTTAGCATCAATGATCCATCAAGATAAAATAAGACGTCAGATCTTGTGACACACCTTCTGTCTTTTCTACGAGCAAACGATTTGGCCAAGTTTGAGGGTGATACCTTCTTTACCCTATTCTGTACCCGTTTGCCACAAAATACTTTTGGGAACGATAAATAAATACTATCTTCATCTGTAAGAAGTGAAAGAGAGATTCTATTTTCGCCAGGGGCCATTCTTAAGCTGACATTGGCAGGATGGGAATCATCTGGAACAATAGCCGTTTTGTTACAGCCAGGATTTAGCTCAGTATCTTCTTGGTCTTAAGGAAATAATTATGTAAACATATTAATGATATAAAGCTGAATATACGAAGTAGCCCATACCACTTTGGGTCTCAGGATTATCATTTTCCTGATCAACCTCTTCAATTTCTTCTTCCTCAAGTTCCGCTTCGTTATCACTATTGTTTTGATTTTCATTTGTATTATTTGTGGGATCCTCATTTTCAGACAAGTCTTTAAAGAACAAAACAAACGAAAACGAAAAAGAAAAAAAAATAACAAGTAAGACAATGTTCACTAACGGATGGTATCTATATTTCATACCAATATCCGTCCCAACATAGTTTGTTTCAACCGTAGCTGATTCAATCCAAGTGTCATCCAACTCAATCTCATGTTCTATATAAAGAGGCTGCGTCTGCAAGAAGCTGGCAGCTATCCACACTTTAGCTGTGGAAATATTTCCCTTGATAGAGTGCATCTGCTTTTGAGTAGTTCCTAACGTGTTTTGTGACATTTTTGAGCATTCATCTCCGACTAGTACAAGTAATATAAAAGGAAATTTATTCATAGCCAGATTTTTTTTATGTGGGGATTTTTTTTTTTTTGAAGAAAATTTTTCAGTGGAAGTAATATTGGGCCCCCGGCTGCGATTTCATAGGCCGGCTCTAAACAGCTTTAGATCAATATTTCAAGCCTTTCAATAGATAAATTATTTTTAAAAAGGGTCACGCATCTTAAGAATATACTTTAATATATATATTCTAAATTACAAGTAATTCTACTTATTACATAAAAAAAATTTAAACTTTTTTACCCTTTTTCAAGGTTGATGATATTGAGCCTCCGGCTGCGATTTCATAGGCTGTCTCTAAACAACTTCAAATCAATATTTCGAACCTTTCACTAGATATATTAATTTTAAAAAGGGTCACGCATCTTAAGAATATACTTTATAATATACATTCTAAATTACAAATAATTCTACTTAGTACATAAAAAAGTTTTAAACTTTTTTATCTTCTTTTCAGTGTAAGTAATATTGAGCCTCGGTCTGCGATTTCATAGGACGGCTTTGAGCAACTTCAGATCAATATTTCAAGCCTTTCAATAAATACATTAATTTTAAAAAGGGTCACGTATCTTAAGAATATACTTTATAATATATATTCTAAATTTCAAGTGGTTCTACTTAGTACATAAAAAAGGTTTAAACTTTTTTACCCTTTTTCAGGGTTGATGATATTGAGCCTCCGGCTGTGATTTCATAGGCTGTCTCTAAAACAACTTCAGATCAATATTTCAAGCCTTTCAATAAATATATTAATTTTAAAAAGGGTCACGTATCTTAAGAATATACTTTATAATATATATTCTAAATTTCAAGTGGTTCTACTTAGTACATAAAAAAGGTTTAAACTTTTTTACCCTTTTTCAGGGTTGATGATATTGAGCCTCCGGTTGTGATTTCATAGGCTGTCTCTAAACAATTTCAAATCAATATTTCCAGCCTTTCAATAGATAAATTATTTTTAAAAAGGGTCACGCATCTTAAGAATATTTGTTTTAATGTATATTTTAAAATTCAAGTAGTTCTACTAAGTACACAAAAAAGGTTGAAGTTATTTCAAGCCATTGCTAACGATTATATAGTCTGTGCGCGGTTTTTTAAATCCGTGAGCACAAACAGTGGGTTATTCCAAAACCGACCACGGCTAATGATATTAGCGGCAGGTTATTATTGGCCTAAAAACTTTTTTGTACAGGTTGTGACATTTTTCCCCCGCCCCCACCTAAAAAAAAAAAGTTGAATCCAGAATCTGTTATGTTTTTTAATTTGATACATGTAGATTCTCATTTTAATCAACATTAAAAACAATCCTAACCTTTCAGATGGGATATTAATTATAAGGAAAATGTGTTTGACCCAACTAATTATTTGTCTCTGCTTAAATTTTTTTTTAGGTACCACCAAAAAGCAGATGCACTCTATAATCTTTTAAATATCTCATTCTACGAGCCAGGCTCAAATGAATAATGAAGCTATCATCCAATTGACGAGGGAGTGCCGAAACAGTCGTATCAACATTGACGGGCACGTTAAAAATACCACCTTTGATTCTGTATTGCCCACTATTGCCATGTAGTGTCCAGATTGATTGAAATACGTGTCTGGCAGCAACTAATCGTTCCTCCAATCTTGTCAAATCGTCCAAGCAGCAATGTGTCTCGGGAAAATCTAATCCATCAGCCAGTGCCAAAGCTGGTCTGACATTCTGCTTAATTTTATCTCTACAAAGATCGCAAAATCGAGCTGTCGTGTTTACATCAGTTGTGTTACTCGTGTTTACTCGGTTATTGTCTACGAGCCAAAAAGCCATTTCCACAATACTCTCGTCGCAATTCCACTCATTCCGTAATTTTTCTTTGGTGGCCTTGGTGTTGCAGTATTTACGAAAAAAAAATCCACGGCAACAGCTGCATACCTTGGTACAGCCTTTTCTAATTAGACTCTCATATTTCTGTCTGACTCTTTCCCAGGCAATTTCCTATTTATAAGCATGTTAGTTTTCCATTTTTTTTTTTTTTTTTTTTTTTTTTTTTTTTTTTTTTTTTTTTTTTTAGAAATACAGTTTATTACTTCAGAATTAAGAGGTCTTCTGTTGGGTCTTTCAGATCGATCATCATCACCATCATCATCCCCAGATTCAACATCTGAATCAGATGAACTACTAGAACTTGATTCTTCAGGAATGTTACTTCTATTTTCAGGAATGTCATTTCTATCTACAGGAATGTCACTTCTATCTTCAGGAATGTCACTTCTATCTTCAGGGACCAAACTCGTCTCACGGTTTCTTCTTGCTCTTTCGGCTTCTGTCTCCAAAAAAAGAGGATCATTTAGCACGATTATGTACGTACTGCCTCATATGGGCCCGGTTTGCTTCATTTTCCTCCGGGGTAAAGCTGTCTCGTTGTTTACGCTTCAATAAGTTATTTCTTTCCCGAATTCTACGCGTTTCCTCGACCTCGTTTTCTTCAATTCTCTGCTGTCGTAATCGCAATTGATACTTTCTTTGCGCCAACTTATTCTTTTCTCTTCTGCGTTCAGCCTTTTCTTGTGCCGTAAGCAAAGCAAGTGACATTTTACATTACTGAAAAAAAAATAATAAAAAAAAAGAACCCAAAACAAGCAGCCCTTTAAATTGTCAATTTTCCTTGGCCAGTCACTCCATCTAACTTAAATCGAAGGCCGTGAATCATCAGATAGTCATAATATGGATATCATGTTTGGCCGTTCAGGACTTATAGCCCTTCACTCACTAAGCAATTTAAATCATGTAAATGCTTATTGTATATATGCTATGTTTGGCCGTTTGGGACTTACAGCCCCTCACTCACTAATCAGTTAAAATCATGTAAATGCTTATTGTATGTATGCTGTGTTTGGCCGTTCGGGACTTTCAGCCCCTCACTCACTAATCAATTTTAATCATGTAAATGCTTATTGTATGTATGCTCTGTTTGGCCGTTCGGGACTTACAGCCCGTCAATCACTAATCAATTTAAATCATGTAAATGCTAATAGTATGTATGCTCTGTTTGGCCGTTCGGGACTTACAGCCCCTCACTCACTAATCAATTTAAATCATGTAAATGCTAATAGTATGTATGCTGTGTTTGGCCGTTCGGGACTTTCAGCCCCTCACTCGCTTATATATTCAAATTTTTAAAAAAAAGTGTGACTTCTGAAAAGTGATGATATTTTTAAGCACTGTTTTTGTTGGACATAGTATTTTTTTTTACCCTTTTTCCTTAGGCTTTCTAACTCCGTAAATACTCCGTGAAGAACGCCAAAAAGTACATAAAGAATGAGAAATATGTCTTTCAAATTTCCATAGCTTAAAAGACCAACTGTAACATAGGTCACTCCAATCCGATGGCTGATGTAAATAATTTTTTTTTAAAATGCTCCTCGTCATTTTGATACTAAGTAGAATCCTTGTAAATTGAAGATGTAGCTTATAATATATGTTTTAAATTTGTATTAGTTAACGCCAGTTGCAAGAAATATCCAAACAAGGTGCAAACTCTATTTTAAGTGTCAATAACTGTCCCCCCAAATCTTTTATATTTTAAACGCAGCAAGGTTTAGCTGCTGAATGGGAAAAATCTTTGAAGTACTTGCCATCATTTTTGTATTAAGTATATTCTCTTTTAATTAAAAGAGTTTATTTGTAAATATATGGATATGTTATATTAGTCTGCGCCAATTGTTAAATTGACTGAAAGATTAGTAATATTATATCAAAGTTCCATACGAAACTCTCTAGGAGTTTGAATCATATAATTTTTAAGGTTTGGGATTGAGTGTTTAATTTTTGACGTTTTGCAAAGTTTTTATCATCTATCAAAACAAACAATAACATATCCAATGGCTAAATCAAGAAAAAGAATGAACCAAGGAAAAAAAGTTAGAGCTGCAACGTTAGAGAAAGCTGCAATGCTTGCTGCTGAGGCTGCTGTGAGAGAATTCAGCGATGTTGAAATTCACCATTCCGAAGATGTTCAAGGTGATGTCGAAGTTATGCCCATCTCGTGGAAAAACGCTAGTGAGACCACTGGTGCGCAGAGCTACACGCGTAAAATTAAATACGCACGCGAAACTATCAGTCGAAAGAAGTCTGCTTGGATAAAAGCCGCTGTGGGCACACGTTCCTTGACCGATTTTTTCAAGTTGGCAAAACAACTTGCACCCATTATGCAGACGAAAAAGAGGCCACACAAGTCCAGATTCCCTAATGAAGCAACATTGGAAAGAATCAATACAATGCTGCCACTCATTGATCCAAAATTAGTTCTTTGTAATGCATCTATTGGAGAACAACATATGGAAGGTGTCACTCAGTATCTGAAATACAAGATCGTGAAGGAAATGATGGTGCTTCTTTTGGCGGGTGAAGCGTATTCTGATGCAGCAGATCGTGTGGTCAACAACTCCTGGCACGATCCATCAAAATTTTACCGTTTTCGCGTAGCCCTTATTTGGTTGGGGCTTTACTTGGAGACCGGAAGTATCCCTCTCCACCAACAAGAAACGCATGCGAAGAGGAGATCAATCCTGAGTGATCCTTTTGTGAAAGAGAAATGCGTGGAGTGCATTCGTGGCCAGAAAACCCCATTTACAAGTATCCCGGCTCTTCGACTTTATTTAAGACAGCACGTCTTACCGGAGGTCTTGGCCATGACCACGGAAGTACAGGTTGATGCAGATGTGATTGTAAATGATGAAGTACATCCTCTGTCAAATGATGCTTTGTCAACTCACCTGAAGTCATGGGGGTTTGAATACAAGACAGGTAAATACAAGATGCAATTAATTAATAGTTATTAATGGTTAAACTTTAATGTTTTTTTGTGGTATGTGCATAAGAAAAGATCAATGCTACTTTGATGGACATGAACGGCCGGACGTCATTTCCCATCGTATTAAGTTGGGCCCAACAAATGATGGAATGGCACAAACGTATGGAAACCTATGCACTCGTCGATGAGAATTCAGAACCAGTTCAGCCCAACCTGAAGGAAAATGAAAAGAAGATGGTTTTAGTTACTCACGACGAATCAATATTTTATTCAAATGATTGTAAAGTAGCTCGTTGGTGTGAGAAGAACAAATCCATGATCATTCCTAAGAGCCAATTAAGATCTGTTATGGTTAGCTCGTTCATGTGTCCTTGCCATGGAACAATGAGAGGTACCGTCAATGGCATTGAAATAACTTCAAGAGTTGTTTTTCTTCCTGGTAACAGTAAGAGCAATGGTTATTGGACGAACATTGATTTAACTAATCAAATAAAAGATGTAATTCCTCCTTTTAATCAATTACATCCTGATTGTATTGGTATCTTTGCCTTTGACCAGAGCTCTAACCACAAAGTCATACCTGATGATGCTCTTGTTGTCTTAAAGATGAGTTCCGGTGTCACCGAGTATAAAGATACAAATAATTATAGGTTTTTCGGATACCACTTTTACTGATAAGGAAGGTTGAGTGAAGGCCCAGCCCATGTACCGGACCGAGATGGTGAATCTGGAAGCCGTGAAGAAGATTGTTGCTACCGGAAGGGCAAAGCAGCAACCAGTGTCCTTTAAAGATCTCCTGTATCAATACAGGCTTCCAAGAGTAAATATTTGAACTTAATACATGATATGAAAATCTAAGTTTCAATTATTTCATTACATTTTGTAGGCAGGTGAGGTCTTCAGAGGTACGCTCATTTTGTTGAGGGAGCGCGACTTGTTGGACAAGAATGTTTCGCTGCGCAAGGTATGCCCTTCTGGTACAGTTCATGATCCTGCTGTTCGACCTGTCAGCTGTGCTGAGTACTTGGTTTCTCAGCAACCTGATTTTCTGGCGCAGAAGAATATGTTGGAGACTGTGATGTTCGAGGCTGGTCACCTCTTTACATTATACCCAAAGTATCACTGTGAGACTAACTGGATTGAAAGACATTGGGGTGCAGCCAAAAGATATTCACGTATGATGAGTGATTACTCCTTTTATACTCTGACGTCTAGAATCCATGAGTTTCTGGACAATGACGAGGTTGTGCACGGTCCTAAAATCAATAGACGGTATTATAACCGTGCCTATAGATATATCGACGCGTATAGCAAGTGTAAAGATGTCATGGAGGCTGATTAGGTTATCAGAAAGCTTTCCAAAGAATATCGATCACACAGACGAGCTGTTTAGTTGCTCCTTAATGGCTTTTATTCCATTAAAAAAAACGAAAAAAAAAACCTTAGACTCCCCCCCAAAAACAAAAATTAGACTCCCCCCAAAAATAAATAAACATCCTGAAATTTTTTTTCTTTAAAAAAAAACCTTCCCCCATATAAAATCTGGCTATGAATTTATTTCCTTTTCTATTGTTTGTACGAGTCCGAGTTAAATCTTTCAAAATGTCACAAAATTGATTTTGCTGTTGAACTCCGGATGCACTCTAATCCTTTTTATTTTGTTACAGGACAAGTGATGAAAATGGAAGTGGTGACACAGAAATAACGAAAAGTTTAGTGAAATTTTAAAAATTCTTTAGACATTGGGTGGTCTAATGGAGATATAGTTCTATCTCTTTATTTCTTATGTAAGTGTAGTGTATTAATTTTGGCAAATACCAAATAAACATTGACTATTAAAATGTGATGACATTTGATTACAGAAATCATTATACAAGAAAAAAAAGGGGGTCGAGAGACTACATACCTGATATTGCGTACAATCAGGGATACGCCCTTTTTTTATTCTGCATTACTCCTTTTGTAAAAAAAGTTGATTGTCTGTGCAAATTCAAAAAAAAGGAAATCTCGGTAAAAACCCAAATATAGCAAAAGACGGCTTCCCCAATCCTGCTGTACACATCTTTAAATTACTCCTCACGCAGTTCCAAAATACATGTGGGAGACACTTTGACTGTTTTCGCTTTGCGGTCGGTAATAGTAATGGAGTTGGGGAGGTGTCAATCTTCACGAGTTGCCATCTTTTTCTCTTTTTTTTTACTATTGCTCATGACATGTTTTAGTGTTCTTAATGGAGAATGGGGGTGCCATGACTAATGAGTCTTTTGCAAGAGTGCCACTACTTTATGACGTTTGTTTACTTGATTATACTTTTCATTTGTTTATACCATGTTATAGTGAAGGTGTCTTTGAACAAGGAAAAAAACGGATAATAATAAAATGAGGTTACCACAAAAAACCACTTTCCAATATCCTTAAAAATGACACTCGATGTATAACAAAAAAAAATTATGCGCACCAAGATCAACGCTGTGCACGTAATGATTGGAAAAAAAAAAGAATGTTTATGCAGCGCGATATACCCCTTCTCCTAAACGTATCGCACGTAACGATAAATCATACAAAATACTTTTATTGAAAATTGAAGTGATTCATTGTTTTATAACCGGTATAAAAGCAATCGAATTGGATTACCTTTATTTCCTTCTTTATTATTATCTTTTAATAAATTCTATTTCTTTCAAAAAAAAATCTATTTACTCCAATGCCATTCAATAGTGGTAAGACCTTTTTAGGGCGTTTTCAATTATTGAAATGCCCTATTGCTTTTGTTCAATGG